AATTTTGACTGGACCAGATATGATCTGTTCACCCTCCCAGGTTTAAAGATGGCATGGATGAAAAAATGAGCACTTTTTGATATGCTGATCTGGCAGAAAATAGACCATGTATTCATCTGCAATCACCAAATTGTAAACTCTGGGCAGTTTAGTAACATCCTGTTGATACTACTGATTTGAAACCAGATCCCTACACTGTGAGGACCACTCTTTGTGCAAAGAAGGTTGATAAATATAACTCATCTTTCTACTTGAAAATAGATTCAAGTCTAGCTTCCGTGTGAACTACAATCTAAGATGTTTTTTTGATTTTTATGTTATACTTGCATGGAATTCCAGACCTGCTTAAACTGCAAGGATGCCTTTAATTCTGAAGCTTTGTGGATGATTTTGTCTTAGCTGTGATGGGTCAGTAGGGCCAAAAGAAGCAAAACAGAGAAATTCTGTGCATGACTAAAGGAAAGGATGCTGCTTTAAAGACTCACTAGGAGCTGCTAGAAATCTGATGCATAAGGGGCAGCTGAATTTTCTGTTACTTCTCAGAGGTGATTTGAAGAAAGAATCCCCCAGAGTACCATGGTGTTTTAGAAATGGTTCTATTTGACAGCATGGATGCATTCTGTGCCTGAATTATCTCAGTGTTTAATTACCAGGCCAGGCACAGATACAGCACAGATGCAGTGGCCTTTCTCAAGGATGACAGCTATTTTTAGTAAGGAAAATGAGACTATCCAAATAGACAGATGTTTATTTTAGTTTTTTGTGCATCATAACTGTAGAAAAAGCTTAATGAAGAATCTTCTTGTTTCTCTAAGATCTACATCTTAGCTCAGCTATATTTAAGGCAACACGAAGTGGGCTGTTATTTTAGTCCCTTGGGATTCATCAGTAAAAAACACAGCAGCTTGTGCTGGCTTTCATCCAGCTTTGCTGCTGGCAAAACATGTCTCTTCAATCTCTTTGTACTCTCAGCTACATGACCAAAATCCTGTTTAGCCAGTTTTTCAAACTGCTGTTCAAAGTCTGTCCTTCCCTCTCACCACCTTTTCTCTAAGAACTGTTTTAGGTTTCGAGGAGGCAAGTATACAGAGCAGCTTGTTTGATTCTTCCTCTTCCCTCTGTTCAGTTTTTAATCTTGGTGTGAAATTACTGAACAAATTCCTTTAAATAAAGAATGACTCATCAGAGCTTTGCCGGAGAGACTGATCTGGTGGAATAAGCAAGAGAGGTGGAGGATGATGCTAATAGACTGGTTCTTGCAGTCAGAATGAGGGCTGGTTGCAAGATGCAAACAGGTAATTAGCAGTGTGTGAGTGCTGTGGAAGGAGCAGAGGAGCAGGGCAGACAGGGTGTGTGAGCTTGGTGGGGGCAGTGCTGAGGTGGGGCAGCTTTGCCTGCTGCAGTGGGGGCGTGCTTGGATGGCAGCATGAAGGTGAATGACAGCAGGTAAATAGCTGAGATGGATTTTATTAGTGGAGTGAAGGAGATGGGGATGGAATTCATGAAATGACAGAGTTGTGGACAGGTTGTTCAACATGTGAGACAGAAAAACGTAATGTAAGTCTGGTGCTGGTCTTAACTTGTCCTGTGCTTGCTCCATTTGGGTGGATGCTGGTTCAAGGCTGGCTTTTGAAATGCTGCCTGAAATCTGTGGTGCAAGAAAGGAGGCTGAAGATGGCTTTTCCTGGGCAGTGCTGAATTGCTTAACGGGTGTGGCTTGTTGTGCTGAGCAATGTGGCTTTACAAACACATCTGCCCTAGCTGCTTTAACAAGTTTGACACATGTGTTACGTGGGTCTATTGCCTGAAAGACTTGAGGGTCCAGTGTCATCTATAGCAGCAAGAGCTGGTCCACAGCTATGCCTCTCATACTCAACCTCTGCAGAATTAGGAGACATCTCCTGTGGGTGAAAGAAGCTACTTCAGGCTAATCTCAAATATCTGTCATTCCTCTGGGGCTATTTTTCCCCATGCTCTGATCCTGAGTGAATCTTCCCATTCACTCTGCTACCCCCTCCTCTCCTCAGTTAACCCATGCCATGGCTGAGCTGGTTTGGATAACAAAGGTTGCCTATATCTCCTGACTACTCTTCCCACAGTCTTTCTTGCCCTCTTCCAGAGCAGTACACCCCAAAGTTTGGAACAGGCTGGTTTTAAAAATAGGAGTTTCTAAATAAGCTCCCAGCAAGTCCTGCCAACCTTGTCGCAGTTTATCTAAGGCACTTTAAGCTGCAGGCATTTGGTAAGAAAAGTAGAGTATTGTTTTGACATGTTGATTGTTCCACTGGAAAGGAGTTTGCAATGTTGAATGTTATCACTCATATTTAATAAATATGCAGTGCAAACACTAACGCTTGGTACAAATAAAAACAAATCCTGATCCTTGGGAGTTCTTTAAACCTTAGTGCAGTTGGAATTCTGGGCTTATCAGTGTCCTTATGCAATATTTTACTACTCTGGCATCTTCTCAGTACAGGCTTCTGAAAATATCTGTGTTTTCTTTTCAGCTGTAGGTTGTGTGGGAAATACCACCTAGAAAAAATGAATATTTCAGTGCAACATTCTTGATTTTTACTAACTTGACTTACAACATTTGACCTGAGCATTTCCTCCCTTGTGCAAACATTTTTCTCCTTTTGTTTTCTGACTTGATGTCTTTTTGATCTACAGTTCTTACATTTTATGTGTACAGCGGGAGGCTGCTTACATTTGTTGCTTTCTCCAGATAGTGTGGGTTAGATTTCTTCTTGTACCTGATCAAAATAGCTCCCTAACTGCACTGCCTGTATTGGCTCTTGAGCATCTCCAGTAACACAGGGTACAAAGTTGAAGGTTTGGGGAGTGTTTTATTGCTGTTCATCAGTAAGACTCTGCTTCCTTTCAGCAAGAATCCCTGTGCACCCCCTCTGGAGGCTGATTCCTATCATCATTTCCAACCCCTTTTTACAAATATTTGCTCTTTACTGTGTGCATTAGTTAAACAAAAAAAAACCTAATAAGTTGCTGCATTTAGTAAGAAAGTAATTCTCATGTGTGTTATTGTGGTGAGAATATTTGTTGTTGGTCTGTGACTGTGGCCGTCCACAGAACTACTTTTCTGAAGTGGTTCCTCTGGAGTCCACTGGAATTTTCTTCTTTTTCTGATGTTTACACATCATCTGAGGTATTTTGAGCACTCTCAGATCTCAATTTTCTGACTTTAAATCATCTTTGAACAATAACTGGCTTTAAAGCCTCAGGTTCTTCAAGACTTCAGCTTGTGGTAGGACCACAACCTGTACTAGCAATTGGGAGGAAACAGGCTTTGGGAATCTGCAAGTTTGGGATGGTTGATTTTTAGTTAGTTGTTTTAGTTAGTTATACACCATCTGTTTGTGGTGTATTTGTTCTTTTTGTGTCTTTTGGTAGTGTGCAGACAATTGCATTATAAAAGTTTATGTTTTGTGGGGATATTCACCCTTCTTATAGTTTCAAATATGTTCTCTGCTATTAAGTAACTTCACTTTATATGAACATATCTATATCTGTAAATATATCTGCAAATGAAGCCACTTAACACAAGGTGGTGAGTTGGATGCCCCTCCTTACCCAGCTCTGCCCCTCAGTTCCCTGTTTTGATGTGTAATACCCACTACTACAGAACTCTGAACTCAGAATGGTAGTGGAACTCTGGTCAGCTGCCCAAGCCCCTGGATTGGTTTGAGCAGTTATTTTGAAATAAAGCTTGGATGATCATGTCTCTGCTCCTTCTAAATCATGTTCAATACACGTGCTTTGCCTTGTGGAGCCTTGCCTTTGGGCTGCAGTTGCTGTAACTCTTGTTCACACTGTGGGTTCTGTGTAGCTGTGGGATCAGGTCATTAGGGCATCACCTTTCCTGAGCAGAGACTGAAATGATGTGGTGTCACATGTGTGGTGATAAAACAAACCAACTCTCTTTTCTCCCCATACACAGGTTAAAAGACAGCACAAAGATATTGTCTAAGTCTCAAGTCAACTTTTAATTTGCTTTTGGGGGTGGTTGTTTTGAAGTTATAGTCTGCTGCTGAGAGCAGTGGGTGGCTATTGCACTGTGATTGTAATTATTGCTTGTTTGTGAGGTGATGCTTTCCTGGGAGGGAGTAGCATCAAGAGGGAAGCTTAGAATAATTACATTTGTCCCCTTGAAAATTAGTTAACAAACTACTCCTTACTGATACATGTAGGTACTAAAATATGCTAGCTGACTTATTAGGAGCTAGGAATTTAACACTGGTATACAGTAATAAAAGGCTGGAAACTGTTGTCTAAGGAAGGAAAATAATGTAGAATAAGACAGCTGGAGCCCTTTCCTCTTGAGCATTAATCTGCTGGGGGTTAGCCATCCTAGAGCTGGGAATAATTTTTTTTAAATCTAGTATTCATAACACTTTATCTGTACCAATAACTTTTTTAGCTTGGATGTGACTTGATTATCATTTTATTTTTGAAGGTATTAGATCACTATTTGTTTGGCTTTTCTTAATATATGACTTTTGAAACATAATTAAATCCTGATGAGTAGGTTTTTTGTTTTTGAACTAAAAAAAAAATTATTAAGGATATAATCAGAGATGCTAATAGGTGAAAAAAGGGTATTGCAAAATCAATATTGTGATTTATCTTCAAAGTTCTTTCAAATAATTAATAACTTAAATTATAGTTAGTCCAGATTCTGTACATTACCAGTATAGTATGATCACTATTCATATGAACTCATAATTCTGCTGTATCTTCCTAATTAGTCTTTTTTTTTCTTTTTTTTTTTTACTATTTTCTGGGTGTTCTTGTTTGCTATTCCACAAATGCATGCAGTTTATTTGCCTTCTTTAATCAGGAGCCCATATCTGTTCTCCATCATGTTTTTTCAAAAACTTTTACAAAATGTTGAATTACTTTATCTCCTTTTTAAAAGTGCTGAAGTAATGGCAGGTGCATGAAATTATCAGCCAGTACAATAAAAATTTCTCTTCATTTTCCAGTTTAGTCAGCTGGTATCCAGTGATTTGAAAGTACTTGGAAGGAGCTCTTACACACTCTGCAGTGATGGCCAGTTACTCATCCGACAAGTTCTCCATCCAGAAACATCCAAGAAGGTACAAGATCAGAACTGGCGCAGAGAGGCAGCACTCGAAGGGGAGTGATACAGTTCCACCTGGGAGCTGGAGTGTCCCAAGACTATTGAAAATTATCCCCTCCCTGCCTGAGCCATGAGTAGTTATTTTAGGCACTTGGTCTTGAAAGTCAGCCACACTGCTTGGACTCCCGGATGAGCATAAGGAAAAGGAAAATTAGGAAAAACAGGATAGAGACAGAGGCAATACAAGTACTTTGAATTCTGTGTGTGGAGTAGAAACAGAGGTACAACTCGAACCTCAGCAGAAGTGATGGAGGACTATTGCTTTGCTTAGGCTTGTATTAAACCAATGTCCTGTGGAGGGTAAGCACACAGGTGGTGGTGTGGCCTGGCAGTGGTTCCCCATCTGCATTTATTCAGTGGGAAGCAGAGCTGCATCTTGTTTGCTACTCCCACATGAAGCAGCAGTTTCTGCTCCAAGTTCCTGGAGGGTTTAGAGCACCCTGTCATGCACAGGCAGGAGAACCTTGCCTTTGTGCAAGGTGGTGACTCTTGAGTTTACTGGCTTAGCAGGGCCTGCAGGAGCCCCACAAGAGTGAGAGCTGCTGACATAGAAGGAGCTGGCCAGTTATTTGGTCTTTTTCTGAAAGTTGCTGAAAGAGATTTTGCATTCCGTGACAATATTTATTTAAAATTTGTCGTTGTGGTTTGGTACAAATCTGCTTTTCAGTGTAGCCGCAAAAGATAAAATAGTGTCAAAAATAGGAAATAGCAGTAAAACATAGACATATTAAAATATTTTTTCCCAGCCATCCTTTCCAGCTGTTTTGCATGGGTCTGACTCCCAGAGGCTATTTGACTTTGTTCATGTAGACATCCAGTTCTGTAGAGTTATGGAATTTGAACTGTGTTACAAAGGAACCAAACTGCTCCATCACCTACAAGCTGGTGATGTGGAACTACGTAATTTCTGAGAGTGCCTCATTCTGTTCAAAAGTATTACTTGAAATTTAAAGGATTAGCATGTATAAACCAAATATTTTTGCCTTCCTTGTAGAACTTCTTGTTGTCAGACTGCTTCTATTCCTTTTATGATCTGCGCAAAGAATTCCATACTTGCTACCCAAGTTCAGCCGCCGTGAAAGACCAGACTATCAAGACCATGGCAGAATGTATCCTTTTGCTGCAGCTTATACCCCACAATCAGTTCAGTTCCTTGAGTTTTATCTCTGTGATTATTAGAAAGTTTAGAAGAATAAAACTAAATGTGGGTTTTATAAACTCACAGGGAAAGTGAAAGGAGTGTCTACTTAAGTGTGTGTCAGGGGAGTGGCTCTGCTTGCATCCCCCCCCCCCCCCCCCCAAATTGAATCTAATTGATTTCTAAACCATATTTAGTAAATCTGCCAAAGAAAAGCATCACTTGCGTTGGTGCTTGATCTTAAAGGAAAAGCTGAGCTGTCAGTGGGCTTTTTCAGCACCTGCTGGCCTGCAGGTTTCCACTGTTTGCAAATAATAGTTATCTTGTATGATCCTGACTAAAATGAGTTTAAAATAAAGCAAAAACAAGACCCAAACAATACTCTATATCTCAGTTCAAATTAGAGAGATTGTTGGGGCCCATCTGAATGGGATTGAAGTTCAGTTATGTTTAAAGTGATAGGAACTTAGTCAGCTTTTCCTTTTTTGGACTATTAACACTGAGATTATGTAAGCTCTCAATAGTTTTCAAACTGTTGTCTGTTGCAGTGAATATAAACCAGTTTATGAGCAGAGTAACATGTCTAATAGCCACATGTCCCTGCTAAGACCAGTACATTTGATTATTAGTTCTGTGCTAATTTCAGGAAAGCATTATGACTTGTTTACAAAGGATTGTGCAGGTCTGTTATTTTCTATAATCACCTGTTAGATCTAGGCTTAGGGATAGATGAAGCAGAGGAGGACTTTGGCGTGTGGCAAGTGAAGACCATGGTGGCTATCATTTTCAGCATGCTTTCAGAAGGTTGTAGTAAGTTAACTATTTATACTGAATGCTGAAATCCTTCTTTTCTGAAAGAATTGGCAGTGATGCTGTCATTCTTAAGTAATCTCTGACTCTGGTTATATTTAAACTTCTTGTTTTGTCACAGATCACATATTTACTGAGCCTGAAACTGTGAAACACAAGTATGAAACAGGTCCTTGGTAAGTGCCCTTGTCATGGTTGTTTACAAACAAAGATGAGTCTTGTGTACAGCAAGGAAAGCTTGTGAATAGTTCCCCATGGTCATGTGAAAGCAGGCTGGCTCCTGAGAACAGCCCAGTGCACTCAGCAGTCACTGCAGTGCAGCCAGACTGTGGCTGGCATGATGAATGCTGCACTTTAGTCCACCTCTTTAAAGTCACTGCAAGTTAAATGCTCTTTGTTCTCTTGCCTCTGTTTTGCATGGCAGCGAGGCTGTTTTATCTTACCCAGGGTGAAGAAATATTTGTGAACTTTCCCTAAGTCAACAGAGCTGATGGCCAGTGCACCCTGCATGAGCTGAGCTGTGTGGTGCTTCCCAAAGTGGTTTTTCACCCATGCTGAACTGGGTGCTGGGTTCAGGGATGAAGGGACAGGATGGCTCATTCTTTACAAATGTATTTCAGTGACCAGACTGAAATATTTTAGGCATAAGTAATTTGTGTTGCTTGGATTGCTAGATCTTTCAAATAAAATTAATTCAGTTCCTCATTACTTTACATTGAGGCAGTTGTCCTATTATTTTGTTTAAGGAACTGCAATGTGGTGACAACATTGTGCATCTACAGTGTTGTAGATATAAAGGAATTATCCAAGTTTTCTTCCATTTCTTTATTGAAAGAAATAATGGAGATAGGAGAGTCTCAACAGAAAACATGCTCCCAATTTACAATTCAATTAGTTGCAATCTGAAGTTTGGTAAAATATTGGAAAACCTGGATGAAAGCTTACTTTGTCTTCTTTTTTCTTTCTGTGCAGCAGTAAATCTGAAACTGTGGACAGTGAGACAGTAATACGTGCCAGAGGTTTGCCATGGCAGTCTTCAGACCAGGACATCGCTCGATTTTTCAAAGGACTCAACATTGCCAAGTAAGATAAGGAAAATTTACCTTGCTTTATCACTTTATCACTTTGCCTTTAATAGCAAGTCCCTTTAATATTTGTTTTACATACATCCCCCACTCTCCCCACTGGAGTCCTTCAGTCTTTCCCCACTTGACCCCTTCCCACGCTGTGGCCTTGTCAGCTGAACAGGTTTATCAGCCTTAGGGGTGCAAGAGAAAGTTTAGAAATGTGTGAAGAAGAAAAGAGTCTTATCAATTGAAAATAATATACATTCATTTATTGCTAGTATCAAAAGGGAGAAACTCCTACTGCATTAATCAAAGGAGAGACCAAGACATGAAAAAAGCTTTAATTTTGTGCCAACTTATTATTCTTCTATACCTCCTAAACAGGCCACATTCAGAAACTTCTAAGTACTGTTTGGAATAAATTTTCATATGATTCATGTCTATACCGATGTATAGATTTATTTGTATACATATATATGAAGAGAGTGAGGTTATTTATCATACCTGTCACTTAATATATATTCCAGATCTCCAACACTGAAAAAAATATATTTTTTTAATTTAGAGTGATGAGGAATTTCAAATGTACATCTGAGATAATAGGAGGGACAAATTTGCAAATTTGCAACTTTATGGGAGTTGAGAAAGTGATGAACAACATGAGATCCACGAGCTCAATTAAACAGATTTTAAAGTATAATTCTGTTACAACAAAAATTAAATTTTGGATAGTAGCAATTTCTTTTTACAATCTGTAATCTTCATGTTTAAGTCTGATTCCTTTACTATTCTTACACAGTTATTTATTAAATGTATTAAAGATTCAGACTAAACTTATATTTGTTGGCTTTACCTTCCAGAGGTGGTGTGGCTCTTTGCCTGAATTCCCAAGGAAGAAGAAATGGGGAGGCTTTGGTTCGGTTTGTCAATTCTGAGCAGAGAGACCTTGCCCTGGAAAGGCACAAGCATCACATGGGTAGCAGATATATTGAGGTAAAAAGTTGTGACTTGAAACAAATCTTTGGAGAGAAACCTGAATATTTTAAGCTATGTTCTCATTTAAAACCAAACTGCACTTCTGTTTTGCTCAAAGTACCAAAACACAATTCTCTTGAAAGTATATGTGTCGTTTAAAACTGAACATTGTGATTTTCATGTGGTTTTTTTTTTTTTGTTCTTTCTTTCAAGGTTTACAAAGCAACTGGAGAAGAATTCTTAAAAATTGCAGGAGGTAAGTGATGCTGGAGTTCAGTGTGATTACTTCAGTTCATAGGAATGTTGTTCAAGTTCTGCTTTCTTCTTTGACTGAGAATGCAAACGGATAGTGAAGTAGCTTTTCCTGTTTTGTCTTTCAAGAATGTTTGACCCTGTCAAGTTGTTGAAACTGAGCTGTGAGCATTTGAGCTGTGATGTTCACAGACTTCCCTCCTTCTTGGGAGGAAGACCAGCCTTTGCAGTGGAAGCATCCGTGTATCTTGTATTAATTCACACTAATCTCGTCTTTGCTCCAATTTTATTAAAATATTAAGCACTTGCAGATGAAGAGGTTTTCCCCTCAAAACGGATTGCTGAGAGTTAGTAGTGTTTTGGGTCTTGTCTGGGTTTGTTGCTGGCTGCTTACCTACTGCATTCTTCCTTAGTGCTTCCCTGCTGCTGCTGCATCCCCTGAACTGGGTGCCCAGCCCTGACCACAGGTTCTTAGCTGACCACGTGCTGTTATCTCTCTGCCAGGCACCTCCAATGAAGTGGCCCAGTTCTTATCCAAGGAGAATCAAGTTATCATCAGGATGAGAGGCCTTCCATTCACTGCTACCCAGGAAGATGTCTTGGGCTTCCTGGGGCCGGAGTGCCCAGTCACAGGAGGGAAAGAGGGACTTCTCTTTGTCAAGTACCCAGATGGCAGGCCCACAGGAGATGCATTTGTGTTGTTTTCCTGTGAAGAATATGCACAGAATGCACTTAAAAAGCACAAAGAAATACTTGGAAAACGTTACATTGAACTCTTCAGGAGCACAGCGGCAGAGGTCCAACAGGTTGTAACTATTGGTTGTGAGACTCTAAACAGAACAGTTAAAATATTTCTTCTTATGCTTACACACAAATATGTTGTAGAGAATCATGAACATTTATTATATGAAAAATATCAAGAAAGGTCAATACATATTTCCTGATGGGTATGGAAAATTGTGCAGCATTGGTTTTGCTTTGATCAGGGAGGGGCTGTTTGTTTTGGGGTTTTTTTTAAGCTGCCACTGCTTGGGTGGTTTTGTTTTTACCTTCCTTCAGTCTATAAAGTGAAAATCATGTTTTTCTTCTCCTTAAAGGCTGACTGAAATCACAAAAGTAATTCTAAAAATATAGTAGATTGATAGTGTTGTAGTATTACTTCTTGAAAAACTGCAATATGGTCTTTAAATGCTAGTTTCCATGTGCAGAATTTCTAATATTAAATCCAAATCTGGATGCATGAAATGAGCAACTGCTTTCTTGGAAACTAAGAATTAAGAGGATATATCTGGTTTTTTTGGTGAAAGGAAGTGATTTTTTTTCCCTGAGGTGATATATTTCCTTTTCCCCCTGTCCTTCACCAGTTCCTATCATTACCTTCTTAAACTGGTAAAACCATTTTATTTTGTCACCAGCAGCTTGTCCCTAATAAATATCACATATAGTATTTTTCTTCCTGACACAGAATACTTCTAGACTGGTGGCTCCAGAGGGAAACAGTATTAGATTTGGTCTGGTGTTTGCATAACCACTGGCTATAAAAGTGTAATGCAGTTACTGTGCAATTTATGTGACAGGTGAAATCTTTCTGTAGAAGGGATGGGGCAAGGGAAAGGATATCCACACTTGTAGATCACTGCCACTACAGTGATATGGATATTACAACAGCCAAGAATCTGTGTGCTGTGAGGATTGGGAAGTGGCATTTCCCTGTCCCCCATAACTTCCCTCCTGAGAGAGAAGGAAGCAAAATCCTCTAAGGAACAAAATCACTCTGTCACAGCAACCAAGCCTCTGCTTCCACTTTTTTTTGGGAGACCTGGATATAGCGTATATTCACTGCTTCTTCCTCTATGACAGCTGTCTAGGCTGACACCCAAACTATTTTGCTGCCTGGGCAAGAGATTATTTCTTAGGAAATTACAGACTACTTGTTTGAGTAATTACAAGAAGTAAAGCCCACTCTCATCTATTTAGTGTTAGTACAAAGTAACTGCAATATTCTCCACACAACTGAGAGAGATTTCTGTCCTAAAATGCATTACAAGGACATTCTTAAAACAAGTTCCCTAAGGCGAATCACTTTTAACAAAACTAAAGCTTTGTGGCCTGGTCTTTTGGCAGAATGTGTTTATTTGTGATAATCATCAGTAAAAATGATTTTCAGCAGTAAGCCCCTACATGTGTCATATGTTCCCTTTGTCATTTGGAAATGAGTCAAGATAAAATGTTGAGATCAAAGCCTCCTATATTCTTATCTTTATCTTTTATTTTTTCCTCAGAAAATCTGTACTTGGAGATGAGCACTGGGGTTAAACAAATAAGCACTCTCACTTAACCAATCAGTTTTTAAAATAAATTAGAATTAGTGCTTTCACTTACTGATTATTTCAGGTCTCAGTCCTTTTAAAATGATTGGTTTTAATTTACCCTGATTTAACTAAGAACTGTATGTGGCAATACTGGTTTATTAGCACAGATATGATTTCAGATGTTCCTTTTTGAGGTACCATAAACAGTAATAGACTTCTAACTTTTTTATATTGACATGAGAAAAGTCTGTTATTGGGGTCTGGCAAATTGAATTTGTTAGCCTTCCTCTCTCCTTTTCGGAGTTGAAAACTTTCAAATGCCCAACAGAAAAGTAACTGCAGTGACTTAGTATAAGAAGGGTTTGTTGGAAATAGTATTGTGAGAACTGCCCTGTGCTCAGACAGGTGATTGTAAATCTGCATTGCTGTGGGTTTTCTGCCAACAGGTACTCAATAGATACATGTCAACACCTCTTATTCCAACCCTTCCAACTCCCATCATCCCGGTCATCCCCCCTCCATACACCATTGCCACGGGCAGCGTCCGCGACTGTGTGCGGCTCAGGGGCCTTCCCTACACTGCTGGAATTGATGACATCTTGGAATTTATGGGAGATGCCACGGGGGATATCAAGCCCCATGGAGTTCACATGGTCCTTAATCAGCAGGTAAGGCATTTTGCATGGGAGGAGTAACTTTGCATTGACTGAACAGGTTAGGAGTCAGGGCAGCTTACCTGATCTTGGCTTTAGTCTTCTCCAGCCTTGGGAAAATGTAATGTTCTCTTCATCTGTCTTTGCCTCATTTCTCTTCCCCCTTTACATACACCCTTGCTTTTCTCTCTCTGTATGTATATATGCATCAGCCTGGGAAAGATGAAGCTTGTTCTTTGAATTATAACCTTATCCTGGAGGCTGTTTTCAGCCAGAGGCTGGAGATACATTACAGAAATCTCTCCTTTAGATGGCATAGCTGCCCTGTCAACTTCAGGGTTCCTGTTGTGTTGAGTGCTCTTTGTGTCAAAATGAGGTTTTTCTAACTTGATGAGCAGTTGCTCAGGCTTTAAAGAGAGTTGATAATTAAAAATTGTGGTTTGGGTGTATTTTAAAGATGTGATCATAGAGATATATTTTCCCTGTTGTCTTGTGTTAAAAATAAGTTCTTAATGACAGAAATACTGAGGTATTAAAGAAAACAAATCTACCATATTTGTTTAGGGGGGTTTTTTGTATGTGTGTATTTTTTTGGTTAAGAAAGTTTTTTGTATTTTATACAGACAGGTATATCTGTCAGATTGCAGAAAATCAGGTCTGGAAATCAACTTCCAATGCAGCTATGGACTTTACTAAAGGATCTGGAACTTTATGCTGTTGTATTATTACCTTGAAAGCAGTTGTAGGGAAGGCAAAGCCAGGCTCTTCCTAGAGCTTCACAGCAAAAGAATAAGAGACAGTGTGAATAAACTACATCCAAAACCCCCCATTCCAGTTGATGGAAAAGGGAAAAAATAAAATCACAATGAGAAATTAGCTAAGCACCTGAACAGATTCCCAGAGGTGATATGGAACCTTCACCCCTGGAGACGCTCAGATTTCAAGTGGAGAAGGCCATGAGTGGCCTGACATAAATTGAAAGTTAGTCCTGCTTTGAACAGCTTTTGGATGAGAGACCTCCAATTTTTTTTCCGTGCTACGTGATTCTGTTTCTTTCTGCAGAGGACTGAAGCGGCATTGTGTTAACTGGGCACTTGTTGCATGAGTCTTGATTTTTCTGCTCCTAAATAGAATTGTGGAGTTGTGAGTCATTTGTGCCAGAAAAGGAATAAGGATACAGGCTTTCAGGAGATGTTTGATCTTAGTCCTTTCTGCATTTCTTGTGATCTGGGTGATTTCATAACAGATTGATCTACAATTACTTCCCCGCCTCCCCTAGGGACGACCATCAGGTGATGCTTTTATCCAAATGAAATCTGCTGACAAAGCCTTTATGGTGGCTCAAAAATGTCACAAAAAAATGATGAAGGACCGTTATGTGGAAGTATTCCAGTGTTCTGGAGAGGAGATGAACTTTGTTTTAATGGGTGGCACTTTAAATCGTAGTGGCTTATCCCCACCGCCATGTAAGTTACCATGTAAGTCTCCAATTCTTCTGCTCTCTGCTGCTAAAGGCTGATATGTGGTAGGTGCTGAAGCTTTGTGGCCTTTCACCTTTTGACTCGGGTTTTGCCATGATCAATAATCATCCATCTGTGTACATGCTAAGATTGGAATTGTTCCCTTTGGGCAATAATGGGACTGATCAGAGGCATTTTTATTGTATTTTCGGTGGTGAGTAGAGGGCAGCAAGGCCTTGCCAGTGAAATTGTTGCACACTTTGCTTTTTATGGGTGTACTGTTCTTCTGAGCTCTGCAGTAGACTTGCCTGTAGTGAAACCTACTTGGAATGAGAGGGATTTTTAAAATGGGGAGAAGTTCTGTATTCCAGCTGCCAATGAGTGCTCTTGCTATCTTGCCTCAGAGCATTCAGAAGGTACTCTTTGGGCTTATTTTTGAAGGAAAACACCCACTGGGATGATATACTAACCGACCATAGAGTGGTGAAGTTGGATGGATTTTAATTTTTTTATTTTAAGATTACAGTGAACCTTACTGAGGAGCTACCATGGAATTTTACTGTATTGTTCTAATTAGTCTCACTACCAAATCACAAAGCAGATACTGATGTATTTGCAAAATAGTAAAAAGCTGCCAAATGTAGTATATAAAACCAATTTGACTGCACACCAAGCCAAGCTTATTGTTCCTGGACAAATTAGGTATTTATTCATCAAAAACCATCAGACTGGTGATCTAGTGGGGTATTCTCCCTTCCATTTTCTGTATCCTAAAAATACTTTTTGAAGTCTCAGGAAGCTTATACATTAAGTCTCATGGTCAGTAGTTATGGATGCCCATGTGTGCACCCATGTGGATGCCCAAGCACTATTATGGTGCTTTTGTCCCACAGAGTACAACTTCTGTTAGAAAACACCAGGGTGTGTTGGTGTGCAAGCCTGCTTTCTCTATGCACATGGCTTTATGCTTTCTTTTATTAACTCTGAAGTTCCCTACTTTCCATTTACATATAGACAAGGCTGCTTAGATCTAGGAGCTATGAACTTTTAGGAATTACTCATTCCCAATGCCCGAGTTGTTTTTCGTGGCAATGTAGCAAAAGTCTCCAGGGGAGAGGCTAGAGAGCAGTCTCTGCTCAAGGGTTCATCAATCATGCCCAGATGGTTTCAATCACATTGTTGTAGGAGAGGAGTTACTCATCTAAGACTTCTCCATTCTGATTGCTTTTTTGTTGCTGTGTCCTGGTTTGATTTTAGGTCTTTCTCCACCAGCTTATGCTGCTTTCCAAACAGCAGCTGTGATCCCAGCAGAGGCAGCAGCCCTTTACCAGCCACAAGCCCTCCTGCCATCCACCAGGACACCCCAGGCCTCTGCAGCTGCTCCTCCAACTGTTACCTACTACCCAGCGCAGGCTGCTCAGCTCTACATGAACTACACAGCTTACTATCCCAGGTAACCCCGAGATTTCACTGCTCCTCTTGACCTTCCATCCCAGTGCAGTAGGTGACTCTGTGGTCACCTGTGAACAGCTCTTAAATTTGCACTTCTAGTGTAGTCCTGGGAACTTAATGTTCAGCAACAGAGGCAGAAACTATTTTAACTGTTTCTCTGTGACCTTGTAAGGGGATTCATCTCTGTAGGTTTTGCTTCAATCTCGTGATAATGTTGGCCAAAAAGGGTTTTTTTGGTACTGAGGCAATGTCATCAAGGCAGTTCTATTTCTTGGCCAGAAGAGAAACTGTGTCAATTCACACCTCTACCCTCACCTCTTAGTTTGTTCTTTTACTTACAAAACTGTTTTCATGCTGAAAGACTCCTCATAGGTGTGTACTCGGTTTGATTTTGTACATCAGTGAGACCAAAGAACATTTTTACATGTGAAAGCAAAGCAAATCTCCACCTTTTCCCTTCCACAGATGGTATGAGCATGAGTCACTAAAGTCTGGCACAGGGCTTGTGGGGAAATAGCTTGTTCACTGATAGCTCCTAGGCTTGTGTGACACTTGCTAGCTTGAGTATCTAGGAATTTCCTAATGAGCCCTGACCAGTGATGGAGATGCTAATTACTCACTATTTTGTGGCTCAGAAATGCCAGATTAGGGTGTTTTCCTCCTGTTCATACTATGGCACACCCTCCCCTTTATTTCTTTGTGTTTTCATTAACGATCTTAAAACAAGTCATCTGCAGCTACTTTTCCTACTCCCCTGTGAAATAACAAATGCCACTCCTTTTGTCTTTAACTACAAATGTTAGCCATTTTCCCTTCCCTCCCTTCTCTAAAAATAGATCATGAGACGCTGAAGAGAAATTAAGAAAGTCCTCAAAACAATCCACATCGGGACTCTCTGTTTTTCTGTAGTATTTGGATTATTTTTCAAATCTAAGTTTTTGGTTTCTTAGTAGAACCAGTGACTGGTTTTTGTAACAATTTTGCTCCCTCTCTCTCTTTCAGCCCTCCAGTATCTCCTACCACGGTGGGGTACATTGCAGCTCCCCCAGGAGCTGTGGCAGCTGCTGCCACTGCCACCCACACTCCCATCCTGCCCCAGCCTGGAGCCTTGGTCCGGATGCAGGGCTTGCCATATAACACAGGAATGAAGGAGATACTCAGTTTCTTCCAGGGGTACCAGGTTAGTATGCAGCCCTCTCCTTGAGACCTCTTTGGACCTCTGAGTATCGATCAGTGGAGGCCAAACTGACCAAGCCAGAACTTTTGGAAACTGCAAGATGCTTGTTGTATATTTAACTGGCAGACTGAAGAGTAACACACGATTTGCCTTCCTTCTCATTAAATAAACAAATCCTGATCTGGAAGCAGTGATTTGGTGTCTGGGTTTGGGGTTTGAGTTTGAAGACCTCAGAGTTCCAGTGTGAGTGGGGCTGCAAAGGGGCTGCCACAGGAAAGTGGGGGCTAATAAAAGTTTTCAGCCCTGGCCACTTGGTGGTGGGAGCCTTTTGGTAGGGTCAGTGTTTGACCACCAACACTGAAAGCTTGCTGATTTCTAATACAGAGAGCTGTGAGCTGGGTGTGGTGACTTGCAAAAGGAGACACAGATGTCTTGGTCGAACATTGTTTCAGTTGCTAATAATTTTGGTTACAGGCAGGAGCATCTTTCATTAAAGCTATATTACATTGCAAACTAAAGAAAATCTGTATTATCCATGCTGTCCATTTTGACAGCAAATATACTACAGGTAATGTCAGTCTGTATGGACTGATGGAATGCTCTCAGGTGAACAAACAGAAATTTATCTTCTTGATAAGTCTTAAAAAAAAAGGCACCAGCTACAAACACTGTTTTCCAGCAGCCCTTATTTGATGTCTTCTGCCTTTTGTCTCAGAGGATACTGTATCTATATCCATGGTTTGTCATATCATATTTGCTAAAAGGAAAGGTAATTGAATATGTTCTGGTGAGTATTTAACCCCTGTGGGTAACAGCACTTTCAAAGTTCCAACTCTGCCCTTTTGGGTACTACTTGGAAGCTCTGACCTAAAATCCTCTGTATGGCTCTCAAACCACTGCAAGTGAACAAGTGATTTGTGTCAAAAGGCAATAATATTTGCATGTTTGTCCTTCAACATTCTGGGATAACAGTGATATTGCAAGAGGTAATAGGAAATATTCAGGCATGGTATGTTTTCTTTCTTCTTTTTTTTTTAACCTTTAGATTCTTAGAAGACAATGAGCTTTAATTTATTCAGCCAGATATCTGGTGTGCAAATAATTGTAGACTGAGAACAGATGCTTAAATGGTATGTTCCAAGTTTTGAGTATTTGGAAGATGCAGTGCTCTACCTGTTGTATCTTCTCTTTGAACATTACATTTTTGTTTTGAAAGCAGTTCTGCACACTCGATTTTTCAGTGGAAAAAGATTATCACATAAAAAGTCTGGTGAATTTTGACAAACAGTAAAAAGAAGCTGCATATTGTATTTTAGGCCTTTGTGTTCCACAGATATTTCCAGAGTTCAAACCGAGTTCAGTTATTTGTGGCTTTCATGATACCCAGAGAAGTAATAAACATTCATCCCATTGTTTAGCCATCGATATTTTGCCTTTTAGTTGTTTTCTACTGCCTGGGGGTTTTGGTGGATAGATGGTGGATATATTAAAACCTTAAGTATGGAAACTTATTTGCTAAATTGAAATTCATCTAGAAGTGTAACAGTACCTTTGAAAAATGTGGCCTGAACCTGTCCATGCATGGAACAGGTCAGTAACCACCTCTAGCACCTCTGCCTTTTGTTAAATCTTCCGTTTAGTGAACCTGGACTTTGTGTCTCATGCTCAGTTTGCCCTTCTCCTCATTTCTGCATTTGGAGAGCAATTCCTGGTGTTTGAATTGCACAATTAATTGATTATAGGAACAGAAATTTTGCCGCAAGGTGAAACCTATATTCTGTTGCTGCAACCTCCTGTGATCATCAGTTACTGTTATTAAATTGGTCACCTCTTTGACTTCTTTAGAAGATGTTGTCCAAATGAGATCAGGCTCAAGATCTTATAAAGGAACCAGGAATTCTTTTGAATTGTTCTTGGAATCCCAAATGTGGTAATGCTAATTTTATAGTAATTCCTTCCTTCAGGGCAAAAAGAGATGGTGACTTACTGTAATGGGACAATCTTGCATCTCTGGAGCAACAACTAATAATTTTTTTTCTTTTTCCCTCCCCTTTCTTCACATTGTTTTCTCATTTTCTGCTGCTGCTGCCCAAGGATTTATTGCGCGATGCTTCTGCTCGTTCATAAAGTGAGCCCTTAATAATCATCAGTGGTTTGGGCATGGTTTTAATCTGTGTACAGCTAATTGATGTTGGTATTCAATGGTCTTCTCTGTTGGTATTCTGGGAACAGATCGGAGATGCTGAAATGGGAGGGTGATTTTTGTCTTTGTGTGTCCTTGTCTGGAAGGAACAGGGTTTAAGTTTTAGTTCTTGCTTTATTCTCCTCTGAATTTCTCCTTCAGGCTTCATGGGCTCTGTATATTGCATGTGTGCACATGTTGCTACTTAAGTGAAGGCACTTTTCATACCAGACCTGCCTCTTAAGAGATATCATGGGCTTCAACAAGCTGGTCTCAACATCAGTACATGCTTCTAAACAGAAATAATTTAAAGTCTGTAGATCAGCATTTTAATTTTCTTTTAATTTTATTAGTATTAGCCTCTTATTTAGTGTTTCAGCAGCTCAATTTCTTCCTGTAGTTCTGTTTTCTTGGGGTTTTTTTTGGTGAAAATTCCTTCCAGCTCGCATGTATTTCTTGTAACTTGGATTAAGCAATTGAAAAACTTGGGAAGAATTTTAATAGTAAATTAGGGAGATGGCAATTTTCCCCATCACCTTTCTGTATAATATTGTAGTATACTGTAATCCTCAAAAGAGCTAATATTAGTACTCTCTGATTCAGTAATTCACATTAAATTGTTTTTAGTTGTAGTGTAAAGCAATAGGGCCATTGATTTGAGTCCAATTATGTGCTGGATACATAGCTAAAGGATAGCTAAAAGCAACCACATAATCCAAGCCAACTAAAACCACACTGAGAAAACAACAAACCCCAAAATAACCAAAACAACAACAAAACCCTCACTATGCCATTCACCAGCTGCTCAGCATATCCTGGTCTCTGGGCTTTATGTTGAAGTGAGTGACCCATGGATGGGATTGTGAGGAAACTCTTCAGGAATTCAGAAAAGTAACTCTTATATCATGAAGTCTGTGGAAGAGGTGCTGCAAATGTAGTAATAACATACAGCAAAACTCCTCAGTGTTACTTCAGGCCATCACTCTGTATAGCTGCAGAAGCAGTGAGAGAATTCCAGTAAATAATTATTGAACAGGGGTAGTAATTGTGATGAATATACGTGAAGTTGACACATAGCAGGACAAAATTTTTTGCTGAAGAATTTTTATTTTTCTTTATTTAGTATCTAAATACTTAATAGGTTTTACTATTTAGCCACTAAGGAATCAATGCAAAATATTTTAGTCTCCAAGTACTGGAGACTCTTTGGGGTAGGGGTTCTCATTCAGTTTTCTTTTTTTTGTTGTTGTTTGGCTTGGTTTTGTTGTTTGTTTGATTTGAGGTTTGCGTGTGTTTGTGTGGGTTTTTGTTGGTGTGCAGTTTCTCAGTAATTTTTTTCTGAGAATGCAAATAGTGGCAGGGTTGGTATCATAACAAGAACTGTTAGGTTAATGTAAAAGCAGAGGCAGTTTAACTGTGCCTGTGGTCTTAGCTGACCAAAAACCAGTTCTCAGCTGTTGTCTTGGCCAGGATTCAGCCTCCTTCTGGTAGTACTTGCCCAGTTTCTTGGAGGTTGGCATGAATGTGAACTCATGCCTGCCTGGAAAAGACCCTGTGGATTAGTTCTTAGAAAGCAGACTTGCTATTTAGGTAAGTTGTGTGTAAGAATAGCTGTTAAAAAAAACCCCAACAAAGAGACTAGAAGATGACTAAGATTTAGGGGCCAGGGTTACCATCTGAACTTTTAAAAAGCCCCCTGAATTTGCTGAAAAAGGCTGGGTTGGAAATGTAAGGACTTCTTTGTGTACATGTTTCTACATAAGAAAAGTGTAAAATAAATAGTGTTCTTGAAGGCCCTACTGGGCTTAAGTGTCTTTTGTCTGCAGCTATAAAGAGCTTTTGCAGTATATTAATCCTCCAAGGCTTCAGAGACACAGAATTTAAGGCTTGCTGGTAGAGGGGAGGAGGATGAGTTGTGGTTAAAACAGTAATAAGGAAGTGAAGGGAAGTGGATGGATGGCTAAATTCCAAGGGCACTAAAGACATTTCTCTGCTCTGTCAGGACAACAGACTTCATTGTTGCTGACTTTTAAGGGATTAGGAGTTTCTTTCTCTGAAATGTGTGCTTAAACAAAGTATTCTCTATTTCCTTTAAGATCTTTTTGAAATCTGATTCTCTGCAGTCTGAGAGGGGGATACCCCATCATCTGTGTGCCAGTCCTAGGCATGGCACCCTCTGACCAGGGAAGGGAAGGGGGAAGTGGTAGAGAAAGAATTAATTCCCACTTACTGAGGCTGGAAGTCATCTGGCAACACAGACACTATTCCATGCTCACCCCCACACTCACAGAATGGAGCACACTGCTTGTTTTGCTTTATTCCTAAATTTATCTCCCACCTGGAAATGTGGAGAAAGCATTGTGAGACTGGGACCAGTTTCTGTCTGTTGCCTCCCACGCTTGAAGCAAGAGACTGAAGTGGCACCCTCTGTATTTTTGGAACTGGCATTACCTGTTTCAGTCTCTGATATACAGAAGGTTCAGGTGGTATCTCTCCCACACAGAGTTCAGGTATTTGTGGATGTTTGTGTTGGCAGTCTTATGGTACGATTGATGTGCTTCTAGGGGCAAAGCCAGTGTAGGGTATTTCTCCTGACTCTTGTGCACAAGGTTGCAGTTATCTAACATCAAACCTGATTCTGTATTTCAGGCTGAGACTAGCTAGGCTTTTTTCCAGAGTCTGAGAGTTCTCTTTGGGAACTGTTCTGTGATAAAGTTTATGGGCAGTTTGGGCAAGAATTGCAGCTATCTTCCTGAGGTGGCCATTCTGTCTATGATGTTTTCCTTTTCTATCATTTGCTCCTGTTTTTCCCAGTTGGAGT